TTTACGAAATTATACTGATTTTTTCACCTTTCAAATATACTTTCAAACACCCCTAAAAAATCTTTAATATTCTATAATGTTTATAAAATATTTTTTTTCCAAAATACAACATTTTAACTTTAATTCAGAAAAAAACATTTATTTCTGTCAAATAGAAAAAAATGGCGATTTTTTGGAAAAAGAAACGATTTTTAAAAAATTTTATTTTGATTTTGACGTTTTTTCACTATTACAAAATTATTTTTTGCATTCGAGACCATTACCATTGGATTCCTCAGGAATTTTTACCCCAAGAAGCTTATATTATCGAATATTTTTGGATTATTTATGCGCGAGTTATGGAACTTTAAAAATGCAAAATCCCAAATTGCACTAGTGTAGTTAGTACATATACTGAGTAGAGATGTGGTTACTACGGGTTAAGATCACGTAAAAATCACTTTCGGGTAATATTAATGCTGGCGGTACTGTATCTTTCAAGCCTGATAACTTGGAAAATATCTAATGGAAAGGAACTATATTATAGTGTTTTGAAAAGTTCTTAAGGTAATTTACAAGAATATGCAATTAAAAATGGAGGTTTTCGTTCAAAAATGTCAAGGTGATCTTTACTATCAAAAATGTCAAGTTACAGAAACTTTCTATGTCCAGTTTCTGAATTATACAGGTATATAAGAAGTATCGGAACCTCTTAATATTTCGAAAAATACGTAATTTAGAAAAAAATGTTCCATATGAAAGTTGTAGGGTTTTATGTGACGCATTATATAGCAATATTATTATGACCTTGAATAGCGATCTACGTGATCTTGATAACGCTATTCAAGGTCATAATAATATTGCTATATAATGCGTCACATAAAACCCTACAACTTTCATATGGAACATTTTTTTCTAAATTACGTATTTTTCGAAATATTAAGAGATTCCGATACTTCTTATATACCTGTATAATTCAGAAACTAGACATAGAAAGTTTCTGTAACTTGACATTTTTGATCAGGGACACAAGAACTATAACATATCACAAATTCAAGCGAATTGACCGAAAATGTTTTTTTCATATGAATCGTGCATGGTCCTTTGTCAATAGGTATTACAATACGCGATTTTCCATAAGAATCAATAGTAATTTTAAACTTAAATAATTTCCAAACCGTTAAGAGAATTGTGCTCAGGTTTTGCACAGATATTTAGAAGAAATAGCAGAAATAGTAGAACAGTCTACGAAATTTTCATGCTTTTGTCAATGTTTCGACATATACATCCTTAATAAACGGTCGAACGATAGATGTCAAATCGATTATCGTAATCGATTAACGCATCTAACCATTATTATTTATGCGTTACGTAAACGTCATGCAACATTGATCGCTTCCTGAATATAAATATATATTCATTCCGCCGTTATTACTTCGGCGCTGTTATTTTTTTCAGATCGCAAAAGTCGCTTGCAAAATGTATGTTAAGAAAGCGAGAGTGTTGCGCTAAATACTGCCGGTGCAATATTGCTTCCATATTCTGTTACCTTAAAAAATAGGAACGTAGAATGCGCGCCTTAAATTTATGAATTTATTTTATCAAATATGGTTGTCAAAAAATTTATTCTTGGAATTGAGAAGTAAGTAGGAAATATATTTAAATTAGAAGAATATTCCCCTTCTTCCTGTCTTATATTAAAAAATTGGCTTGCTTTTTTGCGGAATATAATCCGTTTTGAATGAAAGAATAATAAATAATATCAAGATATTATAACACGTATTTTCTAGGGGCTTTTTTTATCATAATCGATGAAGATTTTTACGCCGTGTACAAACAATAGGTCTTAAAACTTAATGAACATTTCTCCGTCATATTTCTCTTCC